CGTGATTTTCCTTCTGAACCTACACTACACATCAGCCCCATTGAACAGCCTAGTCGTGCCAGCCTATACAACACATGAGGGGCAGAGTTTTACTCTGTGCATTGCAACTTGCTTATATACTGTATTTATTGCACTCAACGCACACACACGCATGGCGCAATTTCTACTGGGGACATGTTCCCCGCACTTTTCGAAATCCTGTTTGTGTCCCCCCACTTTACAAATATGTTTATTATTATTTTTTAACGCAAGCCGTCACCACCATGGAGGATCACACAGCCTCTTTGAGCGAGCGAGAGAGCTAGGGAGGGATGGAGGGAGGGAGGGAGGGAGAGAGAGACAGACAGAGAGAGATTTATGGAGAGCACACCTTTATCTATTTAATATAGATAAAGTAAGAAATCATTCCAATGTGCACTATAGGACAGTGAAAAAAAAAAACTCTTTAAAATTGGAGTGATTATTAAAATATGCATAAATAGAAAGAAAGAATGCTGACTAGGTCACATAAGATAAGAATAAACCAGTTTAAACGATTTGTTATTGGTTGTGATCATATTCTAAAGATTTTTGGATTATTGAAAAGTATACAGCTCCCTTTGAGTGTTGAGAGCTGTATCCATAAATTCCTGTTGTGCTCAAAGTGCACCAGATTGATGCATTTCACTTCAACATTTAAAAAAAAATCTTCCATTCATGCCCCGGGTCCCCCACTAGAGGAGGTGAGGTCCACCCCCAAATAAAGCACGTTAAATTAATTAAATTGAATACATGTTATTTTAGTAAACACTGAAAACGGGTCCCAAAGAACCAAACAGCACACAAAGGTTAAAGGTCAGCATATAATAATGTTAAAATGTGCTAAATATATACTGTACACTGCAAAAAACAAAACAAAAGAGGAGTAAAAGTAGCCCTCGACTTGTTTTATTTTTTGAAAGTAGCCCTCACCCTAAAAAAGGTTGGTGACCCCTGCTCTGGTGGCTACCATTAGCAGATAAAATTAATTAATAATTTTTTCAAAGTAACACATTGGATTAACCTATGGATTAACCTTCAGCTGCGTTTTTTCTCGATTTAATGGCATTTAACAACANTAGTGCCAGTTCCTATTCGACAAACCAAAGCTCAACCACAGTTTACATTTAACTTACTAGAACATTTCAATTGAAAACAAGTTGCTAAATAAAACTCCAAAGATCAAATTAATTGATGGTATGTCTTAACCTGATACATTTTGAATGCGGTGGTCACTTGGATGGACTGTGTAACCTGGAGGCGGGGTCTTGTCTGACCCACCCTTGCAAGCCATGGTAAGGATGTAAAGACTCTATGTGCAGGACTGCACCGCTGTGCTCTGGCACCGAGAAGTGATGGCTCATCAAACACTTGTACAGACTTGTGTCACACGGTCTTCAGCTTGAGGCTCCTACATAATACTCGATGTCGCGACAGAGCTGTAGGCCATGTGAGTCTCGTCCCTTGCAGATCCAGAAGGTGTGTCTACGAATCCGGTTTGGTTTGAGAGTGGTTTCTGTAGACAGTGTAAGTAGTCCCGGCAGCAGTCCTGTTGTGGTGGCCGACGCCTCGCTCGACTGAGGTCTGGTTTACCTCATAAAGGGCTATCAGTGGAATGTCCTGAGGGGAAGAGTTGTTACCATACCAGTGCTCTCTGTTGCGCTGGATGAGAGGTTCTTGTTGGGGTGGTGGAGTTGGTGGTAGGTGCTCTACATGCAACGGTGTCAACATCTCATCAAAGAGTCTGGGAATGGGTGGTTGTTGAATGAGCTCAGAGGTCCAAGGGTGATTCTGATGGGATGAACACTTCCTCACTGGTCAGTTCTGTTGATTCGGGTTGGAGTGTCTGTGAGGTCCGAGGTGATCCCGGGATCTACAATGGTTTCCTCAGTGCTCCCCTTTGCAAACATGGGCTCTGTGCCTGACGAGAGGGCGCGCGCGTGCTGGTATGGGGGGACACGTCAGGTTGGATTGCTTCTGATTCTCAATAACTATCTCATCGTCCGGCTCTTGTTGGATGTTGCTGTTGACTCTGTGGGTATCAGTGCCTCTCTGTTGTTATGTTCGTAGGGATCATATTCCACAGTGGGTTACATGTCACTTTCTACAGTCATCTTCTGGTGTGGCTGAATACACCAATCACGGTATTCATGTTCACTCTTCTGATTGTGGGGCCACTGTGATGAATAACTCTTCTTCCTGGTCTGCAGGAGTGGTGAGAGGGGAGACATGCGCTAGTAGCGAGAACATAGATGGCCAATGTGTGGTCGCGCCGGCAGGAACTGCAGAGTGCGGGAGACCCTTCTGCCCTCTGATCTGTTTCAGTTTTTGGGGTTAGTGTAGTCGTGCTACTCTCAGCGCCAGCAAAAGGGGCGGGTGGCGTGGGAGAGGTGATGGGTGAAGATTTCCGACCACAGAACATGTCAACAACGATGTCTGCTGTGCGATTCACTAGTCTTTCCTGAGAACACACAAGTAGATACAATAAAAAAGCAGTAAAAGAATAATTGTTTACGAACCTGTTAAGGATCAAACGCCCTGATGATTTGCAGAGAGAATGCGAAGAAGATGAACTCAACAAATGGCAATCCGCCCGTCACTTTAACCTCAAATGTTACACATACATATTATGATAAAAGATGTACATCTTTATACCGTTATTGTAAGGCGACAGTTTGTGAGACAAGTCCTTGAGTCAAAATAGCAGTCAAAGAGCAATAATGCCACAGCTGCAATAGCAATGTGAACACTTCACATTTAAGTACCCAAAAGTGTAAAGTTTCCTAGAAACTGTGGTGTAGAGGGCTTCCTCTCTTAACTCCTAATGTTAATTGTTAACCTATAACTAACATTGCAGTTTTTGTCCTGTTTGTATAATGTTTTAACAATGGAAAACAATACTTAGTTATGCAACTTTAGTTTATCTTTATTCAGATCATGGTTGGGAAATAATTATGCTAAGGTACAGAGAGCACATGAAATTTTCCTGAAGAAATATTATCTCACGCCAGACCAAGTTAGTCAAAGTGTACTATTGTTTCTGTTTAAGAACGACCTGTTAAGCACTGAGCCTGTTTTCAGGTCTCAGGCTCAAAAATGACATTCCCAGAACAAAATGAGCATAATCATCCCTCTAAGGGTTAAATTAATATTAATAATAATCTTTTTTACTCAGAGTAATGGATAACCCTGTGAGTTGGATGTAGAAAGAGTCAGAATCAATATAGAATGTTTTTCATTTTAAAGAAAATTCAGATTTGAACAAAAATATTTTTACTTATAGTGAAAACTACCCTTGGGATGATGGTAAGGAGAATAAAAGCTTTAGGAATTCCCAAGTACAACATATAATAAAGTTACCGCGTGTATCAAGATTGATGCAAAACAAGTGACATTTGACTTTTAGAGAGGTTTAGCAAAAAAAAAACACTTCTGGGGTCATTGGGTGGATTTTCCATATCTCCTGGCCCCACTCTTGGTCATTTTGCTGATTGACATCTCTTTCTAACCATCAGAGGCCAATGGAAGCGAGGGGAAAGTCTCCACATACACACACAGCTTACCAAATAAGGAGTGAGAGTGACGCATAGCAAACCGGAAGCTGCGCTAACCTCTGGTGGCTACCATTAGCAGCTAATCTTTCTTCTCCGATTTTTGCATAAAAATGGAATTATGGATTATCAATAATTTTTTCAAAGTGACAGACACATTGTTATAACCTATGGATTAACCTTCAGCCGCGTTTTTTCTCGTTGTAATGCCATTGAACACGACTTTTGATCAGAATAACAGCTAAAATGAGCATATCTCCGTGTTTTGCTACCTAAAGCTACTCGTGTGTTGTCTGTATTTGCTTCTCCTGTCACGAGTTCTGATCGTTCAGTGATGATCCTTATATTTCTATAATCTGTGGACTCTCAGGATGTTATCTATGTTGTGCAGATCCAATAAGTATATCGATCAGTGTAGCTAGAGTTCTGTGCTAACGGCCTTAAGATTGTTTCGTTCTTAGCTAATTCAGAGGCTCAGCGCTAGCTTTGTGGGTTTAAAAAAAAAAAGAAAAAAAAGATCAGTTAGCTGAGTTTCTTCCCGTTACATGGATATAAAACATTCATAGTTTATTGAATATTAAGATGCCGTCAGACCAGCGTTTCCGCCAGGGGGGCGTCTTGCCGTCATTTGACGCCCTTATTCCGCTCGGGACGCCCTGAACGTGAGCCAAGGGCGTCCAAAAATATTAATAATTCGAGAGAAGATCGAGAGTTTTTATCGCTTGAAATGACGAAAAGGAAAAAGGACAAGGACATCCCTCTGTTGGAGGGGCAAAGGAGTCTGGTGGGATTATTTTCGGAGTATTGAGGATCGTTTCCCCGACATCGAAGGTGCCTGCAGGACAACACGGAACTTGCGCGATTTGGATCCGATGAGCGGTGCTAGTGGAGCATGCGCGTGAGCTGCAAGCACCAGAGCCTCGCAGCGGCGAAACTGATGCTCTGTGGTAAACTGTGGTAACACGAAGAGCCGTTTGGGAGCCGAAACAGCTGGCCAAATAATCCGGCTCACTAACGTAAAAAGACAGTATCTATAAGGGACGGCTCAAGTCAAAATTCAACCCCCCCCCGCCCCGGGCTCTTGGGGTGGACGCCCTCTCAGCCCTGGTCTGGCGGACACACATGCCTCAGGCGCTGTTTCCTGCAGATGACGCGTTTTTTCCCCCCGATATCGGGGGTGCGCTGTAGAAGAGGTTCACTTTCAGTACTACTTTAAACATTTCCGGATCTGCTTGAACAGGATTCACATGACTGTAGCAGGGAAGCATTTAAACCTTGGGTTATCTAGTGTTTTGGTTTTGCTAGAGGTGCCATGATTATTTTAGTCATTCCTGTACCCTGTGTCTCTATACACATTTAACTTGCATGTAGCCCTGTCATTGAGCAGCAGCCATGATTTAATCGTTCCTCCGTTTTGGTCTTTGAATGCTTCTAATGAACTTGTCTACTTTATAATAAGTAAATCCCTTTACCTCCTTTATGTTTGCCCCTGCCTCTATGTCCTCCCGTGCTCTCTCAATTACTCACACCCACTAAATGAAACTTAGAAAGCTTTCCTTGCTGGCCCAGACAGACCGTGTAAAGCCAGCTGTTGACCATTACGTACTAGCCCTCTTTTTTCATGAAACTATCTCTGATGTAAGGGGTGAGACATGTTTTTCCTTACAAGAAAAAAAGGGCCTGCTCTCAGAGAGTTCATTATCTCACCAAAGCTGTTACTAGGGCTTTTGTTTTCCCAGTCCAATGCATAGACCAATAAGACATCAAATATCCCGATTTGTCCTCTGCAACAACCTCTGTCAACCCTGTCTTTCTGTGTAGTCTAACTGAGGTAGGTTTACATACTTTTTTTTGAGAGTGGGAAAGCAGGAAATGATAGAGTGGGTCCAACAAAACAAGGGTACTTGAAAAGCACTTAGACAGAGGCGTAAATACAACAGGACTGAGAGAGTTGACATGGAATGCACAGAGCAGGAGGTGAGGGTGGCCTGTTTGTGTGCCCTCTGAACTCCATGGGGACTTATCACCGCGAGAGCTAGCATAGCTGCAGGGGCAGTAAATGGCCAGGCAGGGGACAGCTTATCTGTCCAACCTCTCATTTGTAAAGATGGAAAGGCCAGGTCAGGGGTCGCCAAGGATGACTGGATTTAGAAGTCCAGCAGTAGCTGTGTCCATTATCCAAACGTCTGCTCTGATAAGTACAAGTGAGAGTGACAGGGGGCAAACTCTGACAGCGCAAACAAGATGAGAAAGGCGTAAAGGGAGTTAGATAGTGAGACTAAAAAGGCTGAGGTATTATTTACTTTGCTGCATATCTAGATGGTGGCCATCATCTTTCATTTGGTTTTCACCCTGGGGATACTGATTAGTTAAGAACACTCTTATTTTGAGAAGGGATTACCATTATTGTGCTAACCTCCGGTGAACCATGAAGTGTCACTATTAATAAGGACTCACAGCTATATTATCCTGACTTCCTTTGGTCACCATGGTTTGAAAAAAAGATAAATTCCCATGCAAATGAAAATGTTTCCAAGAGTTTACAGAAATGTACTGACTATAAATGTGTTAAAATTATCTAAAATGAAAGCTGTGATAATCTTGAACAGGAAAAAAAGTTGTAGTCTGTTTCACATCAGAAGTGAAGTCAATTATGAAGAAAGCAGTATGGATTAGCCCAGCTTGAATTAATTAAGGTTTCAGACAGATACTGACTGCTCACAAACTCGTACTCACTGTTGGTCATTAATCCCGCATTGGAATAAGAACTGCTATGTCCATTGCTTCTAAAGTAAAGAGATTTTACTCCCATCTTGACAAATGTTATTGCCTGGACTCTTCAATCTGTAATACTAGTGTAGCATGTGACACACAATGCTCATAAGTCATACATTACTCCTTTTAGAACAATAGAGAAAAAATGAGACAGGTTGTAAACATTTCAAAATGTGGGAAGGCGGTGCAAAGGAGCAGAAAATCAAAGTGGGGAGCAAATAGAGACATGAGATCATAACTCCTCTTAGTCCAGGCCTGGTTTTAACAGTGAATGGTTTGTGCCTTCAATCACTTTGTCTGTGTCGATACGAATGAATACACCTATGCCGAGGCAGGTATCACTTTGTTCCATGACATACTGTAGGGTAAATAAACAAAATACTAACAACCACACACTGCGAGTAATTGTACCTTTAAAACAGTAAGCCCCAAGCTTCCTGGTTGGTTCTGGGAAGCCAGTCTGGTTTCTGTAGCGGTACATGGTCCTTACTCCGAGCAGGCCTCCCCCACACTGCAGTCTGGGTACTGCCACAGGGTGTCGTACACTGCCATCGGAGAGCCAGCCATAGTCACATCTGTCCAGGCCTTGTCGCCATGCAGCGTGGAGCTGGCCCGGGGATGCCAGGACAGCTTTCCTGTTCCTACACTCTGCACTGGCTTCCTTAAGAGTCATCTTACGGGTCACAGGAGCATAGAACACTTCACCTGAAACAAAGATAGCAAAATGCAAAGAACGGTTAACAAAAGCACTAACTCAAAAGGAACATGACAACAAATCCTCAGTGATCATGGCAACATAATATGATTACTTTAAGAGAGAAAACACCCAGAGCATTCATACAGTATTCAAATAATTCCACAAACATTGCCATGAATTCTGTATCAAACATATTCCATATTTCAATATTTTGTACTAAAAACAAAGCTTAAAAGGCATATTAGTTCAAGTTAACTCAAACTCCAGATTTGTTGATCAGTTTGATATTTCAGTACAGCCTAAAAGACTGCTGACAAAGTCACCGATTTGCAGGACACAGACACAGACATCCCCCACCAATCACATTTAGGACAACAATAGTTCTTTCATTAAATAAATCGGAGGTGGGATAGCAATGCAGACAATGTGCTAGCCTGTCAATGATTTGATAGTTTACGTCATAAGGTTTCCCACCGGAGTGATAAAGTTCACACCTTCAATGTTTCCTTCCCTCTGGCTGTTCATGGAAAAGTCTTCACTTTGAAAACTGACTGTAGGCTACTACAGCAACTAGGAATATGTGTCTTTGTCTGTAGGATAATCTAAACAAAAGTCTACCGAAAGGCAAGATGTCAATTAAAACAAAACAACATTACAAATAGGATGGCTGGCTGACTACATATTTTCAGTTAGTCTTGGATGTATGTCGATTTTATCCCATTGATTTACAATGGCATTGAGATAAGGAGATGCTTTTCCCACTCAGACATGTCTTACAATTCAAAAACATATTCAACTTCAAAGCATTTCAAACCACATTAACACAACATGCAGCTTTCCCATAATATATAAAGGGTAGGTCACTGAGAAGATATTAAAAAAGATTATTAAACTAATGAATATCCTGAGTATTGTACAGTTTAACACCAATGAAGCCACGTCCCAAGTTCAGTTCCAGTGTAAGACATATGGTGTGTTAACTGCCTCCTCTAAACTGAAGGCAAATATTCCAGACAGAAGTGTTACAGTTTACTTCATACATAAAACAAATGTAAAGGTTGACGCGCCCTGGCTGACACCATTGTCCACATCTGTTCATAAAATGTAAAATACAAATCACAATGCTGACTGATGGCTTCAAATAAGAAACTAATTGATTTGCAACTGTGCTGTAGCAGGGCTGATCTCATATAACAAGAACAACTACAAAATGCTGACTTGAGTTAAAGTATCAAAAGGCATGTTAGAACTCATAAAACGCTGTGAGTGAAAATGAGTCCAACAACAGTTAGAGGCTGGATAATGAACACGCACTCAAAGACTCTGGCTGAGATGTGAGGACTTCCCTTAAGCATTGCCAAGTGCAATCAAAAACCCCATTATCGCATTTTGGTTTCCAACTTTTTCAACACCATTGTAGGAATAAATAATGAGTCCTGCGTAAGAATTAGATCAATAAGTGCTTCTCTCTAACTCCTTTTCTGCAACATGAGAAATTGTATGGTGTAACACAATATATACAAATCAAATTGTCACCAATGCCATATTCAAAGAACTAAATTAGGCGTGTTTCCCCATCGGTTTTATAAGCAGTAAAAGTAATTTGCTTTGGCACTGTGATCATTTGGAGGTTTCCTCATCTCAGAGGGTGTGGCACTGCCTCTGAACGACACCTCCTTGATATGGGATTAGAAAAGCCACATTTATGGCTGACTTACCATCAAGTTTGTCCACAAAACAGAATACATCGAAGGTGTCTGTGGCTTTCCTGGTCCCATACGACCTGATACCAGGTTTAGTTTTCAGGTGGCCAAAGCAGCCCTTCCTTGGCATTGTAATTGGGTATCTGAACGGATAGAAAAACAAATAAATGATCATAGGTTATATCATCTTATATATGAACAAAGAATTTCACAGATCAGAGTACGATAAAATATACAATATATCATTAAATAGCAGTGTTCTTTAAAGTAAATGAGTTCATAGCAGATGATTAAAACTCAGCTAACCTCACTGTCTGGTCAGAAATCCAGCCGGCATCACATTGATCAAAGCCATCCTCATACGCTGCTTTTAGTTGCCCATATGTAGCAATGGATGCTCCAACATTTTGGCAAGTTTCGACAGCCTTCTGGTAGTCCAAGGTGTACCTGCTGGTGCTTTCCCGGTAGTGAAACACAACACCTGGCAAGAAATAGGATCAAAATGGACCATCCAAAAGTGAAACTAAATGTTTTGTGTATAAAAACATGAATGTACAAATCTGGAATTCATCAGTGTAATTTCAGTGCCATAAATAATGTCAAATGTCTTATAAAGCACACACCATGGGTGAAATAATTGAGTCTCCCAACTTCTCTGGAAAGGGGAACACTTTGCAATAAACCAAGAGGATAAACCAAATACTGTTAGAGTTTACCACAAATGAACAAGATAACTGCAGATGATGCCATGTCCCTGAAATTCCCATATTTGTGGACAGTAAAAAGACCCAAAGGATATGATTGATAGACCTAATTAACATTGCAGACTGAAAACGAGTGAAAACCAAAACTATCCCAGCATCCCCCACCCATGTTTTCTGCATCCCGAAACATAAGTCATATCTCACAGAATACTTATCAAGTGACACATAGTGTGCACATAATTACACTATGTAGGGATCCCCCACAAGGAGAGTACTGCACCAATGTCACATCATCATATATCTATATATCATTTATGGGGAGGGGTACTAAGGAACACTGTATTATTCAATAAAAGCGTGCCCCACAGAGAGAAACATCTCCACTGACAAGGTGGCACCAAAGATGACAGGGATTGGTGAGATTATAACATAGCTTTTATTCTGTCAACTTGTGGAATACCATCCATATATGGGTAATTACTTATAGGCTTAGATGTCTAAACACTGGAATTTAAACACTCAAGTACTTTGTATGGACAGGGACCCCAAGACTCATCTCTTTTAAGAAGGCATCGCTTCTAAAAAAGAGCTGAAAACTGTGGTTATTCTGAGTAACTAGTGGGTAGCGGCTGCTATCAAAGTAAGCACAAGGGCGCCCATGGTTCTCTCATATTGTTTACATATCTATCACCACTTGTATTGCATTTCACTATAATAAAACCCTTGCAGCTAACCCCTCTACTTTTATAGAACATCTTGGGGGAGATCATTTAGAGAATTTGATATGACCCGGGAAGGATATTATGAATTTCTTACCATCAACATCAAGGTTAACTGTATCCTGGGTGTCCTCAATGCCGTATATGACTTCACATCGATAAGTGCCGGCATCACTGGCACGCAGCTTTACCATCGTCAGCGAGGCATCACCTACATCCTCAGGGTGACTGGGCACTGACACACGGTTCTTGTAGACGGTGCCTATTTTGATGACACCATGTTGTGCCACCAGCACTGTGGATTCCACGTCTCCAACTATTTTGGTCCATTTGATCCGTAAGTAATCTTCGCTAGGAACGGCAATTCCATCGGCACTGATCAATGGTGCTGAGGTTGGGATGTTGGAGAAGAAGCAGGGAAGATTTACCTTCCCTGAGAGGGACCCAGTGACTGGTGCGATGATCGATAATGCGTTGGGGGCTGAAAGGCGAAAAGCAAAAGGGTTAAAAATGCATTTACAAATCATATACATTTACTTATTAATGTATTATGTTTTGCTTTTTTCTATGATAAAACATGTGTTTCTTCTGTTTACTTTAATGTTAACTGTTGCAAGTATAGACATTAACAACTGCCCGACTCATTTACATTGATGGGGTGTGACGCCTACACCCAGCCTAATAAAAGAAAACATGCATCATAGCCTTTAAATGGCTCTTGGAAAGTCAAACCTCATCCTTAAAATGCTGGGTGTAGGAACACATTCAACACTGACTGCAGCGTCTTTACAGCATGTTTGGATAAAGTTAAAGATAATTGGTTAAACAGTGGAGTCATGATTGCATCAGTTCAGGTTAGGCCACAGCTGAGTTCTATGCATGTTAGTTTTCCTTCTAAAAAAAATCCCTCCTTCACCAACATGATGATGACAGGTAGACCCACACAGAAAGAAGTGAAATATGTCATCAGTGTGCTGCACACTAGATAATCATATGTATCTTCCTTTTCCTGACCTCCTACTCTATTCTCAGCTGAAAACCTGCTACTGATGTTGCACACCCACATTTCAGCACAGGATAAGGATATTTAATGTAATCCCACAGCAAACACAATATATTTCACTACTTAGAAGACAGACAGGGTTAAATGTTATTGTGCTTTAACCACAAGTCTCAATTTGACTTCTATATGATGAATCTAAGGGGATGTGAAATGACAACAGGCTCTACTTTGTGAAGAGGAAGAAGATTCACCTTTTTTTCCTTTCTTCACAGGAGGGTTACAGCAAACAATGTGGGGAATGCTCTGGACACAGTGGTGGGACAGCCCTGGAGGCATGACTGTGTGAGCTTTACCTGAGGGCCTTATTATGATGAGGGGTGAAACCAGCTGTTATCTCCAGACTGCGAGCAGAGTCTAATTGAAAGGTGTCCATCTGTAAGGGGGCCAGGGGAGCCAGGGGGGCCAACGCGGCCTGAGAGGCAAACCTCAGCGGCCAACACACCTTCACCATTGAGTAAAGTCTTGCAGGTTTCACAGAAAAGACTGGAGGGGGCTTTTCACAGTCTGCTACTTTAAGAACAGTGATGCTTTTAAGCAACACTGACAATCGTCTACAGTGACTTTAAGTTTGGTGAATCAAGGAAGACAAAAAAAGTGATAGGAGGGGGAAGAAAGTGAAAAAAAAGAGAGAGAGGGGGAGATTTGGGGAAAAGGAAGGAGGTACAAAAGTTGTTGTTGAGAAAGAGATACGGGGCATGTAACTTACTTGTTGCAGATGCAGCTTCACAGAGACAATATAGCCACAGGATCAACTTTATATAGAGCAACATCTGTTGGAAAAATGAAAACTATGCATTAGGAAACAATGCATACATGGCCTTTATGTTGTTTCTCAGTGTTTTAAGTGCATTTGTGTTCAATTTCATTATAATAGATAAGCCTGCTAAAGATGATATCATGCATGGACTTCAGAAAAATTAAATAGTGTAAACACATGTCAAAAATCAATAAAATATACAAAAATAATAGCAGCCTCAAATCTTTTTTAACAAAATGAATACTCAACCTAGATAACATGATCTAAACTTACATTTCTGAAGCATTTTTATTGACATAATAATGAATTGATCTCCTCGTCAAAAACAGGACACAGACACTTTGAAATGCGATGGAAACAAGGGACATCACATTTATCTGACACATCACATTAGCTGGCATATTGTGTCCATTTGTTCCTATAGAAATAAAAACAAAAGCTTCGTGTGGAGTCGAACTACAGAGATTTTGTAGTCAGGAGGACAGAAGCAGTGAGACCCCTGTCCTCATTTCAACCCCACTGTATAAACACAAGTGTTGGGTCGCAAAGGGAGCTGCAGAGTGTTTTACTCGAGACACTCAGATCTTATAATGACAGTTGGCCAAGGCATAAGATCATCCTCTCAAATATTTCTGGGTGGGAAAAAGGCAGTGATTGTATAGTCTATCCCAAGTCAACGGACCCACCCTAATGGAAAATAAATGAAATGAAACTTGGAAGAGACAATAACAGAGAGAGAACATCTCTAACGGCATTTCCCCCCTGTTTTAATGTAAATAATACTCATTTATATTTGGAGAATGATGTGCGTAAACTACAGGCAGTCGCAGAAGGGTTTCTAGGAAAACGAAAGAAAAGAGTAATTCAACGAAAGATCAACACTTTTAACACGGGGCTGTAATAGATCGCAAATGTTTAGACCCATCGAGATGATCCCGCAATGACACAAAAGTTTCTTCTTCTGTGATATAAAATACAGATTATGTTAACCTGTATAAGTTGATTAAAACTTGATATCTGCTCTCTTTTGCTGCCGTTACTATTTTAGTTTTTTTTCTCCACAAAAACACCTGTTCCTTTTTCAACTAAATAAAATATTATAATAATGATATTCATTATTAACGTTTTAATTCAGGATCTACTCTTCTAACTGCTAAATTGTCGCAATTCCACAGCGCTGACTTGTGAACTCCAGTTGCCTCACTCAGTAGCGGGACATACCGTTTAGGTTATCTAAGGACAACACGGCATCACTGGGTGCGTCCGTGTTAAACAGTGTGTGGACTGAGAAGTTAACTGTATGTTTGTTTTTTATGTGTTTCAATATGTGCTCCATATCAACAAGCAAACAGAATACAAGACACTAAGCAAATAATGCATACATTGTCAATTATCTAGTTTAAAGCAAAATGCTCAATTGATTTATTTCAAACTGAAGAATACTTACGGTTAAATGTGTTTTATTCCATAAAATACACAACTTTCGATAGATATGTCCTTAAATCCAGTTAGTCCCAGGTGTGTAAAATGTGTCCAAGTATGTCCACTCCAAACCGGCGCAACACTTATCTCCCCGGTGCACCTTTCTGTTCTCCTTGATGCTCCAGAGCTGCAGGTTCCCACTCCGGGATGATCCTGGTTCTGATCGGAGGGACAGAAACCGTGAAGTGTTGGCAAGAAACAAGTTCAATTTTGCTTAACGCACGCTCTTATTTCGTAAGTGCTGGAGAGGAGGGGCAGAGTGCCCATCTGAAAAGTGAATGAGACACCTTTGGGAGGAGGGGGGACAAACTTAATTTGGCCCCGTGCCTGAGAGGTCCATTGTCATCCAATCAGACTGCTCCGTGTCCTGCAGATCGATCATTTGTGCAGGTGACATTACTTTAGAGATATGACATCTTTATTTCAGAATGGTTTACAAATCTGATGTTTTAATGGCATTAAAGTAATTAAATGAAGAATGAATTATGCCAAAATGGAACTTTTATATTCGGGAAGTCACGTTTATATCGCTTTCTTTCTCAACAGCCTTCGATGATTAAATATCAAGTTGATGCCATATAGAGCGCACCAGCCATATCCAAGGGTGCGCAATGGAAACGGGGTGGTGCAGACATGTCTCTGGTTGGATTTGAGTCACAGTCTACTGTTTGTTCCAAAAACACATTTCTGTCAATATTATGAAGGAGAACGTCGTCCCATCAACAACTGTTCGCAACAAGTTGTAGGTCTCGTCCACGCACATAAAAAAACTTACCTGGAGAATAAATAGTTTACACACGTTTTATTTGAAATGTGTTAGTGTTTTTAAAGTATCATGTTTGGATTTCATTATAAAGTTTGAAGACCATCTAAATACATTTATAATCTCAAATGGAAATGGGTTATCTCAGAATACACGACAAGCCAACAGGAGAGTCATCTACTTGCTCACTGTTAACCCTTGTGCTTGTCTTTTCCACACGGGGGAGAGGATGGACCACAGTTTAACAACTCTTGCCTAATAATCACCACGATTGGCTACTGCTGTGTGTGTGTGTGTGTGTGTGTGTGTGTGTGTGTGTGTGTGTGTGTGTGTGTGTGTGTGTGGTACGATTATAACTTCCAGTAGTGTGGGATAAGATGTGTCTCTTCCAGTTTGTCTTAACAGAATATCAAATAAGTGAATAGTCTTATATAGAGTGAGATTAGAATAACAAAAAAATCAAATATTTGTTTGCATCCAATGAAAATCCATGTTGGTGGTGCGATGTATGTGAACCCTCTTGACTAAGCCTATGACACTATACTGCATATAACTTAAATTACATTTCAAGTAAACTTTACTTCATTTGAGAGCAAAGCTAGTGTGCAATTTTTCCATTTTTTTACAGCGCACAATACAGAATTTGTGTATATGCAAAATATCAGGCCTAGCATTTGTGACTGTTGAATGTGATCAGTGCATATAGTTATCTTCATGTACTCATGCATTTAAGCTTAGTTAGGCTAATTGTAGGGATGCAGAAAGAAATGTAATATTTGATATAGTAGCCTTTTTATCTTAACAGTTCAACATCATGAATGACTTTGGTAAAAGGTTACATGTATCATGATTATAGTGGGACATCCTGAAACATAGGCTGCATGTGAATCAAACTGATGGGAAAGTCTGGTTATGAGTCAATGAGGGCGGAGTAATTGTTCAAAATATTGGTGTCCCCTTCTGAAGGTGCTCACACCATGAGAGCTGGAGCAGAGGTGATGAGCGTCTGACACAGAAGATTGCCCTTGTAGCCCGAGGCCCTTTTGAAAAGTCATGAGTGCCTTTTCCATACCTGCGTGCATTGTAATCTTCTCAGAGCTCTGCACCACTTACCCACAGTATCTCTCCTCTGCAAGGCTGGACTGGTCTGGACAGCCAGACTCTGAGAACGTGAAATGAGTGCCGGCTGTGACAGAAAGGGAAGGCTTGAGTTAACAGGTCATCCATGTTGACGAATGACCCATGTCATGTGAACAGCATGCCTCTTACTGTGGCATTAAGTCTTCATTCAAAAATAACAAATAAGGTGCAGTTCACACAAAAAAATGTGTTTTGCTATTGAGACTGTTTTAGTGTGGGAAGCCAAGTGATATAGTTATCTCCTCTAAAGATGTCTCTTTTTTCAAGTAATCATGACCCGTTTTTTCAAAATATTCCGGGGTCCTTATTGTGAGCAGTCTCAAACAAGAACTTTTTTCTTTCTACCAAAACAGATCCGCCAACCCTAACACTACACAGAAGGCGGCGTGCATCCAGGAATGGACATAAGGCTTATGCTTGTGATATAAAAGTGAATGGGTTCCTCTTCTGAGTAGATGCATGCTGAGATACATGCTTTCTTCTATGTGGTTACCCAGTTTGGAGGTGTAGTTTGGTAAAAACAAAACAGTTCTTACATGAAAAAATTCACAACAAGGTCTTTGGATTATTCTGAGCGACTGTGTCATCATTTCTGTGATGGGATATTATTGTTTAGTTTCTCAAATGTATTCTTTATGCACCACCTACCTAGTTCCATCAGGTTGTGTTAATAGTCAAGAGAAGGCAGACATCTCTACAACCAATATCACCGGAATCTCCCACCTTCAATCAAGATGATAAATAGCACAACAGGTAAGAGGAAAACAAATATTGTATTGATTTGAAGATAAACTATCCATAATATATCTTCAACACAGCAGTTTGAGACAGGCCTGAATTCCTTGTATGCAGAAGATGGTTTCTGCATAGCGATCAATAACATGCTCTGACAAAGACTGATGCGTTGCCGTCAAAGCTCCAGCTTTGAACAATAACTTGAAACAACAACTTGAAACAACAACAACAACAACTTGAAAACGAGCTCAGACTGACCGGAACTCAGTGGAATTTGCCACCTGACCCCAGCATAATTAACAACTACTCAGTTTTAGAGTTATGGGTATCATTTTTCACCTTCTTAACTGACTCATCATTAAGTTAAAAGTTGCAAGTCACTAACTGCCATGTAAAACGTCTCTACTGTATGTGTAGCTGTAGAACTCCTGTTGCCTTTCAGTTCCCATAAATCAATGAGTCAAAGAGTGTTTGATCCTGGGGATCCGCTGTGCGGGCCCCAAGATGACCCACATATCACATGACCTATAAAGGTGGTCTACCTCCGGCACCATGCCTTCTCAGACAGCATAAAATGGGCTTAAAATGTCTCCGACCCCGCGGGATCTGTCCTACAGAAACTTTTGAAGGCCAAAGCTCCTCTGATTGTAATGCCTTTTCATCAGTTACATGACCATAGATGTTCTGGGATTCTGTTAAAGGAAATCATCAGATATCTTCATATAAGCAGAAAAGACAAAATCAGGAATACCTGTCAAGTCAACTGATATGTTTGACAATATGTTTGCCTCTGTATAAATGAAACTAAAACTGAAAAAACGGTGTTAAAAAAAGATGCACACTTTAAGTACAAAAGCCAAACCTGTGACACAGAGAAAAAACACTTTTGTGTGTGTGTGTGTGTGTGTGTGTGTGTGTGTGTGTGTGTGTGTGTGTGTGTGTGTGTGTGTGTGTGTGTGTGTGTGTGTGCATGTGTGTGCTTTGTGAGTGAACCCGTTCAGAGCAGAACATGTGGGAAAGTGAAGTTGCCTCATGAACCTTGATCCTTTGGAGCCAAGTGTGGAGGCCCAGACCACCAGAATCTGATCCCTTCAGCTTTACGGAGAGGCCGAGCAAGGTAACCTACAGCACAGGAGTTGATTTTAATCACATTTCTTCAGACCAAAATCAAGTTTTGTTTGCTTTTTTGCGATACTGTCTAAGGAAAAGCTACCATGAAGGAAGATGGATAAAAAAGTAATTATGAATGCGGGCCCGGGTCTGACTAATATGAGATGTTTGAAGCAGATGCTAATATGTGGTATTAAGAGTCACAGAGATAACAATTTATATTACAATATGAATTTCTGTCTGCATTTATGGAATTGAGCTCTTAAATATGGTTCTTATAGAATTGTGAAAAAGACTTGAAACATTTAACTCTAATATTTGAGCAAGAAGACGAGTTTCCATTTTCGAGAGTAAACCAATAATCATGAGTGAAAACACGAATAATTAGACAAACATTTTAGATATTTAACATGAATTGGAAAAACAAAAGAGTCAAATACCTAGTTTGAATGTCCCTACTATACTTTCTATTAAGACATGCGCCAACATCAGATGTCATATCATATTGTAATGTAATTGGTGAGGTTACAGTACAGGCTTTTACTATCCCTGTCGTCCGTCTCGTATTTAAGAATTTCCAATTCAAAATTTCAAAAGAAAATGTTGGATACAACATCTGCACAAACAAGTATTTTAGATATTAGTATTTTAGAGTTGGCAAAGGTGCAGTAAACTATGAACTGTGTTTAAGCATAACCAGACAGCAGCAACTGAATGCCACACCGACTCGTTTCCACCACTTCCGAACGACGTAAACATAATGAAAAGGACAAAAAGGCTGCACACTTGCATTCTGAGGAAAACTGCACCAAAACTGTCTGGAGTCCTCGGCACCAGGTGCCAATCAACAGGTAGTTGTCAGTCATGGGGGTGACAGCTGGTGGACTGTCAGTCAGTCTGACGGGCGTTACAAAGACACGATGGTTTGCCTCGCTGTCCCCTAATTGGTGCCTTTAGTGAGAGCCATCGACATGCTTTAGCTTTCTTTTTTTATATGTATCTGGTGCTTAATCTTTCTCCCTCCACACTTCACCTTTACAATGCACACTTTTAGATGTAGGGTTTCACAACTTAACATCTCTCTACTCTCTAGTCTTTAGTCATGTCAACAAACTCCAGATGCAAAAAAAAACACCTCCATGTGACACACATCTTTTTTACCTATGTCATATACATAAACACATTTTTCTGTGAAACTCAAATGCGTTTTATTGATTAGAAGTTTTAATTAAATTGTGATTTAGCCCCCTACCGAAAAAAAACACAGCGTTGAATCCCTTGCGAAAGCATCAACTTCTGATGGAGACTGTTTGAGATGCGCAGCAGGCTCAGACATGAATCACTGCGTATACCACCTACTAGCAAACCACTTTAATCTAAGAGGATGGCAGAGGAACAAAGACAGAGGAAGTGAGTAAAAGAGAGAGAGTGGGAGAGGGAGAGAGAGAGAGAGGCGGGTGGATTGATAACAAGAACCAGACCATTTCCACGTCAGACAACTTTGCCAATTGCAGTTAACATATTGCAGCATTGTGGGAACCATTTAATTCTCTAACCTCATTCCTTCTGCCGTTATCACCCTATACATGAACTCTAGGGACTCAGGATTACAATATTTCAAATTAAGTTTGTGTCAAATTTGACAATTTAGCACGAATGTGTTTAAACGTGTGTGATCTATGACATGTATGGGAGTCCCTATGGTAAAACCTCCCACAGGAGTCATGCTTCTCCCTGCACTTCAGCCACAGAAAAAAATGGTTGTGTGAGTCAGTTATTAAGCCAGGCAGCAATTAGGCCTACACGAGAGAAGTCAAGGTGGAAAGCCCGTCGATCCTTTGGTCTGTGACCAAGAGGAAGTCAAGATAATGACATAATGCATTCCTAGCCATGTGAGAAAATCCAGTCAACTGTAGAAAGTCATTTTGGTTTCTTTGGTTCCAATTACCATTTTAAAGGATGTTTCGGTAAAACTGCAATAAAAATCTGTTTTGGTGACCCATTAAAATACTTGGGTGGCATACATGATATAATGTTAGCACTAACTATATATTTATATTCCTTTCTAAGTATAGCACTCTCACATGCAAAGACATGAAATAACACAACTTACTAAGAAACTTAAAAATGTATCTTATCAAGCAAAGATCTGAGACATATGTCAAGCTTCTCATATTTAAAAGGAATATAAAATAAGCGGTAAGCATTATTGTCAAAGCTAGGTTATAATAATAGTTGTATTTGACTAAAGAAAACAAAACTCTATATTTATTACAACTCCTTCACAATGAGAAAAAATAGAAAGTCTCCCTCGGGCACGCTGCAACGGGTTGTCATTATCACACAGTTAAAGTTCAACTACCAACCTGCAGGACATTCTGGTTTAATTCAAATAATGAGACCAATCAGTTCACACCAGAATCTAAAAGAGAAAACCACTGTTATTTGCAATGATCAAAAGGCTGTTTTAATGACTGGGTTGAAACACAGCAGAAAGTTGTTGCCACTGGCAAAACTTGGAGACTAAGGCAGAAAAAGACCAGAGTGAAAGTCAGAAGTAAGTAAGATTTCTGTTCTGTTTGTAGCCTATTTGGACAATGATAGCTTGTTGGTCTCAAAAATACAATAAACACACAAAAAAAACTCACAAAAAAAACTCAAATTGGTCCAGCAGAGAGGCTAACGGCTGGTTTTGTGTTGCACTAAAAATCTATTCCCCTTTAAACAGAAAGCCCATGTGTCCATGTGTGCTGCCCCAAGCAGAAGCAGTGGTACTCCCCACTGTGAGAAAAAAAGGAATAAAAGAAAATGCAGCCTCATACAACTGGTACAATAAACCGTATCACATTTCACTGGATTGCTCATAAAGTGCAATAATGAAAAGTGGAAGCATTCAACAATTATTCCAACGTGTAAACGGTTAGTCAGAACAGAGTATTTCTTAAAGCGGACCTATCATGCTATATTTGAATAATATAGTGTAGGACCATACCTATATAAGGCATATTTATACTTTTTATTTTTCAAAATACCAAACAGATCATGCATTTTAGCCATTCCTCATTTCGCTCAATTTAACACTGTCTTTGCATGGGCTGATTCTGTGAGAACAGCACCATCTACAGGCCTGGCATATGTACTACAGCGTCTCCAGCGTTTTCCAACGGCAATGTCCGTGGCTGTCTCCTCCTGATTGGTGGAGTTGGCCCAATAGCCGTAGCGCCACTTCTGTGACGTCATAGAAGTGTTCAAATCTGGATCAGTCTGTATCAGATCCGTTGCAGCCCCTTTTTAAGAGATTTGGGTATGGAGGAAAATAGAGAGGGTTGTGTTTTCTGACACTTGGTGAGTTCCCTGGAACACCGGGGACACATATTCATGTATAAAAGACGTACGAAAGTGCATTTTGCATGATAGGTCACCTTGAATATATTTTCAAATGAGTCGTCGTTTTCAGTATTCAAACTTTACTGGTGTAATGTGAAGTTCCTTCAGACATTACGGTGTAGGGCAGTGAGCGATGAGCGCAGCATGAGACAAAGAGCGCTCTGTCTCACTGCAGCTCTGCGGCGGGACAGCAGGACGATTCCTGTCGTTTCCCTGGATGATGGGAATCCTACAGGTGCACGCAGTAAGTGAATGATGATGATAAGCATGTGACTGAACGTTTAATTTCAGACTGGCACAGCCTTCATCGCTCTCTCACAAACAGCGTTGACCCTTTCAGCTGCGTGCTGTATAGCCCCGTTGATCTATACTGACCTAATGTAAAAGCCATGCTGTTGTACATTTACGGCTTTATTACAAACAATTATTCATGTTTTTTGTCTGTTAGGCGGTGACCTAATATTTCAAAAATACAGAAAAGACAAAAATATGTTTGAATGTGTATTGAAGTCAAGTACAAATGAACATGCCTTGCCACGTAAAACATTAAAACATATCGCAAAACATTTACAACTTTTCATTTTTTTCCCAATTAAAATATTTCTTACATACATTATGTAAAAATAATAGATATATTTCTAGAACATGAAATAAATACAAATTATTGAATCAGCTGAGAAACATTTAAATGTATTTTAAACATATCATTAGGTTATTTAAAAAAGTAGTCATGTAAGCATGCTCTAATATTTTAAATAAAACCAATGAGTGAAATATTAACAGAGTTTCATAATCTTTTTCTTATCCTTGATCAAACCTTCATGCATTCATCTGTAAATCATCCTCAGAAACTGATCTGGGCCTCTGCTCACAAAATGCCTTTGGGATGAATAGAGGAGACAGTGTGACATTCCAGTGGGGATTACTAAACCTTCAAGCGCGTGTTGTGGGATTATCCAGGCGGCCACCCGTGGTCTTCAGCTGACGTTTAGGTATCATCAAAATCATAAAGACAGCTGGAAGGTCGGGGAGTCAAAGGTAGAATGGTCAGATGAAGACCCGAGTAAATCTCCAGAGATTCATTACTGTCAGTGTGAAGACACACTGTGATAACCTTAGGACCTAAAGCTGGTAGTAAAGGAAAAGGTTAGGATGAGAATACAGAGAGACAACATACGCTCATTAACCCTCTGCAACACACCACACAGTGAGTTTGGGCCACGAAACATCTACAGAATAAAAGGGCAGATGAAAAGGAGGTAAAATGACAAACTGCTAGTTTATAAAGAGGAAATGAAAGAGATGGCGCATGGTTTATTTTCATAATGAAAAGAGCAGGGAAAAAATCAGCAAACATGATGAAAAAGCAGAAACAAGGCAGCTTCGTTTCCATGTTGGTGACACCCTTTTTTCTGGGTGTAGCCTGTTGTCCCTCAGTAGTTGTTACTCTTGTTCAGTCTAACCCAGAGACAAGGTCGAGGGGCTTGGCAGCCAAATTCAAGCTTCGGGCGAAGTCAAGCTCTTGAGAAATCGCTTCCATACTCTTGGTCCAGATTCTCTACCTTGTTCTCCAAGTCATTAGCAACAGCAGCAGTTCCTGAGGAAGCACTGGAGGGCGTTAAGTGGCTGTTATCTCATGATTATTAACGTATCTGGGCAAAGTATGGACGGTAGCTCACAATGGAGCACACAGTCTGAAGTGTCTGGAAAATGATAGCGTCATTAGTTGTTCGTCTTTTGATTTATTGAAGACAAGAGACAAGCAGTTAGGCTCTCATGAGAGCTGTAGCAGGTAATTGTCACAGTTAAAGCAAACCAGATGACGGTGACATGTTCTGGCTTTCTCAATCTGGGTCCAAATCTGGGAACAAATCTGGGAACAAATCTGGGAACAAATCTGGGGACACCTCCAGGACTCTGTTGCCTGGTTGTCACTGTTATAGTTGTGTGTATCGAGGTGAGGGTTGACTAGCCACAAGTATATTGCCACATAGCTGGAGAGGCTTTAAGAAAACGTATTTATCAGAAAAAGCTTAGATTTAGGCTTTTCGTTCCTAAATGGTATCTATTTATTGAGGAGGATGAAGAAGACATAAGGGAAGAAAGAAGGGAAGGAAAAGGAAAAATATGTGGTTCATTATTCTCACTTAACAAACATTCCATTTCAAATGTAATATTTCATTTGTTTACTTTGGAAATGCAGTTCAATATCTTGATACAAGGCTGAATGAAATGAAAAAGGATATTTATAACAGATGAAATGTGATAGAATGCAAATGTAAGGGTCCAAATAAGAAAATAAGTTCAGGTTTTAAGTAACATTCAATAGCTACTGCTGTCATTGTTTGGACTAAGCTCTTAGCCTGTGTCTAGTCAGAGATGCAGCAGTACAAAAACCTCTAGTCATTGTATTGCAAAGTGTCAGTATTAGAAAACATGCAGCTGGTGAATGTAGGGAGAATGCATGAGCCGGATGTTCAGGAGACACCTCCGTAAACCCAAACATTAACAGAAGCTGATAAATATCTCAAACCCGGCCAGGCCCACCAGTGAGTCAATCTTTCTAAAGTTGAATTCTTAAAATGTTCCCACCCATAGAAATGTATTCGTAATTGTTCTCACGATATGTAGTGAACATCTGAGATAGAATATTACAAACATATTATATTTGGTGTGGTCTAGTTATTAAGAAGAGGTGGCAGTTTTAACATTTGTGAAATGTTTAACAGGGTAAAAACAAACTAAGATGTAGATACATTCCTTGTATTGTGGTTGAAAGCAGCCTGGAGATATTATAAAATGATATGTTATTGTGTCTTGTTGATACATTTTTTTGTATTTGAGCTACTTTAAAATCTGCAAAATATAATCTTGTTCTCCCACCTCCAATGAAAAGCCATGTCATTGTACTGCTACTGTGTTTTAAGAGAGGCTCCACAAAACAGCTATGCACTCAAATAAAATGATTGATGGAAAGCTGAATCAAAAAACAACTATAACCATTATTTGGTTATCTGACTAACCTGCCTTTATTCCTGCTCAGAAGGTTCAGGGCTCAGGGTGTGAAGTAATCTTCGCTTTCGCCGCGGTTGTTCATCCTCTTCATCAGAAAAAGTCTGGTCCATAGAGATGCCCTGGCTCACCAGATTACAACCTGCATACAATACAGCACACACAAGACACATAGAGGCACACACAAACTGTTTAGAAAACACACTCTTACTGAATCATGTTTTAATGTGTGACGCCAAAGATAACTGTCCTGCCTCGTATGCTTCTAGTATGTTATTACTTTTGCATTTTGTAAACATCTTTGATTAATAATGTCACTTATATAAGCAAATTATCAATCAGTTGATACAAAAAAGCATGTTTACTGTCAATCAAAAAGGTACTAGATTCTATTCACATTCTTTCACAATGACCTCTGATGGACTGCAAGTTCCTCCAATGAGTCTGAATTCCTGCACTCGGATGTCTCGATCAACATTTTTTGGGGGGATGTTGGGTATCATTCTCATAGCCCAAATTCACCACTTTCATTGCTTAAACCCAATTCTCTATTTGTGTCATTTGTGTAACATTTGAGGGAGTCTCTGGGCTTCATATAACCTCTGTTAACCCTGGACAACTCCACACTTGAAGTAATGGGACCTTTATCTGGAACAGAGATCTGACATTCCAACGAGGCCTGTCATAAAATGGTTTACATCCAGATAGACTCAAAAACACACCTGTTTGCCCTTTAACGCTTCTGCTAGCACATTCAGACTCAAAGATTCACAGATTAAGCAGTTGTGTTAGATAAAAAGAAATACTTAAGAGAATTGATTTGCTGTCAGATTGAGAGATTGAAGGCCGAATGCTGAAATGATTGCTACTGTTGATATATGGGGTTAAATTAACAAAGTCTGACATTACAAAACATCTGATGGATGATTGTTTTCCAATTCTCTCTTCCCCTGTGTCAAGCTCCTATTATTTCATCTTCTGTCACCTCATTGTGAGTGATATGCTTCCTCTGCTGTCACTATCAGATGCTGGAGGGAACAGGTCGAAGAGAGAGTTTCTTTTTTTGTCTCCAAATCTGCCCTGTCATTACTCTCTTAAGAGGCCTCTGCAATATGAAAACACACCCCGAGGCACGAAGGTTAACTGGGGCCGTGCATGTCAAAGTGTAGTATGTCGGGAAAGTTTGTGTTTTTAATGCAAATAAAACTGCTTCTATGCAAGTGGTTTCTGATGTGGGTTTACCTGAAGACAGCCAAATGGGTGGGGCCTGAAACTAAACAAATGTCAGTGAGGTCTCAAATGTACTAAAGTTTACCTTATGTAGTTACTGTATGTGTTTACTGAATTTGTAAATACAAAACTTTGTCCTGGCTCTTGTCCTCAGATTATCGGGAAGGTGGGTGTGAATTGATTCGGTTGCTAGGGTAACCAGAGTAAAGCTGCACAATATAAGCAAGAAGAATTAATAATGCATTAGGCATGTACTGTATCAGCATATTGTAACAAATTTGACATTAAGTTGTGGCGTGTTTTCTACGATGGTCAAGTGATGGCCAAAAGAGAAACGCCTAGAGACAGATTTGCCAGACAGCTGAATTAGTGTAAATACTCAAATTATTTTGGAAACACACCCATAATGCAGAAAATGGAGAGAATATAAAAGCAAATTCACAATGCATGAAGATGAAGATAGGTGCCAGGTGACGGACGAGCTGAGAACACAAGAAAGCATTGTAAAACACTTCAAACAACAAAGTGTGTAAGCCAAGACCCATACTGCGCAATCTACGGCCGTCATCCCTCTGCACTGAAGGGGGAGTGTGTGTGTGTGTGTGCATGTTTGTGTTGAAAATGAGAGCCAAACAACAGGACCTGCTAAAGTCACTGCATCATCAATATGTTTCGCAACTGTATTAGCATCTCGGGGGAACTTGAGTTTGGCTCTGAACACAAACGCAGCCATTCAGCGAGCGATCAGTAGGTTACCCCGGCAGATTGCAACTCGTAGTACAGGGGGTATGACTCAGATATTGTGACACCACGCCGGCTCTGCATGATGCAGAGGAAGAGGAAAGACCACCTCCTGGCCGGCTGTGTTGAAGCAAAAACAGCAGGCTGGGTGGGTTTATGACTCAAAGAAAAGAGTTTCCCAGAACCTGGCTTCCCGAGGGTATGCTCTCTGCTCGCTGTGCTTTTGAGTTTACGTTAAAACCCCCTGCTTACATGATCAATTACATTCAACTGTCTAGTTTATTAGACAATAAAAAATCAGTTCAAGGAAAGCTTAAGACTCTTTTTAAGTCTGCATCAATACTGACTCACATTTTGTCCTATGACATAACAAGGAGTAACAGGAATGGGCGAAGCGTTGCCGTGTTAAATTCTTACACCCTGCCCCACCAAACATGGCGCATGCATACTGTAAGTAACGGGGACATTGGAGCACAATGCAGTGATGGTCACTGTGACAGTACATTTTTATAAAGGTGACCTATGAGAGTCCCAAATTGAGACAGCTATTGATAAATGATGTTAGTATGTGTATGAGTATATCATAATTATTTATATATGTATTTTTACTAACAGTCTTTTCCTTCTTTTTTAAGTAATTTTCTTTTCCTCTAATCTGCATTTTTCACTATGAGAAAAATAAGCAGTGATTTAAGTATGAACAACATTGCCACCTGATCCCAAATGATGCTTCAGCCTACAGTGTGATACAGCAGAGCGCACACACATTTGTGTGCGTTAACACCCACATATAAAACGTAATGCCAATTCTCATCATGTCATGAATTGCATCGGTTAGGCTCTGCCCTATCCCTAGAGCAACACTCTAGTTGCTTTATTCTGAGTAATAGGAGGGCAAGGAGATGTTTCAGTCTGGTTATGTTCACTGATTATGCTGTTGCAACATATTCTTACGCAGGGAAACATGAGAACAATAGACTGTTCTATACAGATTGTTCTGTAATTGATTATCATTTGTATTAGCCAATTATTCACAAAGATAAAATGAAAAGCAGTCCTCTTAACACATCACACACACCTGTGATGAGAAGAGTTTGCTCCTGAGATGGATGGATCCTCTGAACCGTCTCCTCCTTTCTGTCCTGACTGTCGTCTTCGCCATAAGTTGTGTCATTGTCACTAAAATAAATAAAATCATTTGAGAACAGAAACTTTTTCCTATAGAAAAATCTGAGTGAGAAAGAAGAAAAAAAACTAAGAAGAAAAATGTAGTTGAGTTTCGAATATTCTCTAGAACAGTGGTTCCCAATCTTTTTCCCCAAGAGCCCCCCCAAAGGACTCCTGTTGGAAGTGGGGGGGGAGTGCAACAGCGGTAATTCAAGTTTAAAAGTCTCAAAAATGCTAAAACTACTGTCACAAACTAGATGAATGTGAAGTATTTTGTTAAAGGAGGATGAAAGCGTCATTAAGGAGCACTATTGGAGTGACTTTGATGGTTATTGGACTCAGGATTCATTCATTTGGATTCCCGCTGTATGAAGAAATTAAAGGATGGCGCAGAAGTGGAAACAATTCACAAAGGCATTAAACTGTTTAAAACACATGCTCAAAGTAAGCCGGATTTTGCCGATGTGTTTATGTGGATTCAAAAGTCGTAAATAATCTACAAAATGGAGGAGACCGATCTGATCGGAGCAACTGTGACAAATAATCCAACTGAAACCGGCATGGACAATGACTATGTTTTAGAAATGAGCTTATCCTGAAAAGCCCGGTTTGGACACTTTACGGGCAGAAGAAACATTTCTATTAAAGAAAGAATTATACATTTCTGTCTTTTTATGCCTTTAATAGCTACTAACTTGAATTGTTATTCAAATTAATTAATTAATTATTTTTTATATTTTAATGTAGAAACAAGGCTTTTAGTGACAATCATGTATTGCTTTACAATTATATGTAAAAAAAAAAAAAAAAGTCTAAATATGATATTTGGTCTCAAATCATCTGAGGCCTGGCGCTCCCCCTGCGTCCCCCAGGTTGGGAACCACTGCTCTAGAAGACACTGCCTTTGGGGTAATCACCTCTCAATATTTTATAGTATTGACCACAAGCAGCTATGCCAAAAGCAGCTATTGTGAGTAAAACCTTTCATCCATACACTGTGCACTGCAACGATAGTCTATATTAACACAGGCATGTAAAGTAACAATTTAGCAACTGTGTTCTGCAAAAGCTAAAGACATGGCAAAAAGTAGAAAAGCTTTAAGTAGAAAAGCTAGCCAGTTAAACCAGAGCATGACAGAATAATAAACGCCATGCGAAACCAGTCTGCTGACCTATGTGTACCCTCTCCATCTGCCTGCTGGTCTTCAGTGGGCTGGAGATGGCGGACAGCTTCCTGCAGGCCTCTGATCTTGGCCTTCTTCTCATTCAGCACCATGACAAAACGTGAGTACATCTTCCCCTCCAACATCTCCTTATCCTCCACTTGCTGCCCCAGCCTGGAGAGAACAATACATAAGTGTATATGCAAAAACATATATCCAAGTGATTGGACTCCCACTTGCACATGGAAACACATGTGCTCACGCAAAAACAGAAGGACAGATGCATGTTTTGAAATGTTTTTTTTGTTTGTGTTTTCTGGGAGTAATTTGTTAAGGGCAGTGATGCTGATGCCTCCACCCCGTGGAGACATAAGTAATGCTTATCCTCCATCTCTGACGATGCTTCATTCATTGGCTAATCAACCAAAAAAACAGATAAACCATTACACAAAAAAAAGAAAAGAAGTCATATTTTAACTGAAATACGCACAAGTAAATCATTTGAGGTTAGTTCCCAGAAATTACAAGCCCGGTTTGCATCACAGGGTGGAACCCTTAATTCTCTCAAATGGGCGACCAGTGATGATGTCATTCTGGTTGATTGCTGTGCTTACAAACAGCTGACAGGCCGACTTAAAAAGCAAAAAGAGTTTGCATGCAAACAAGACAACCAACAAACAGATACCAGCGCATCTTAAGAAAGTAATGACATGCTGTAGGGGTACTTTCCATTTGAACTTAATATTTGCTGTCCATCACATATTCTTTAATATTTAAAACCCATTAGCTAAAAACACAGCATTGGTTTCCTTCCTCCTTACTCTCCGAGTATTCTCTGGTGCTCCTGTTTCAGTCTACGGTTCTCCTCCAACAGCTGGCAGTTCTTGGACTCCAGATCTGTACTGTACTTTAGAGACTGACCAATCATCTCCCGCTTCAGCTCCAGAGGGTCTGGAGCTGGCTGGAGCTGTACTGAACCCAAATGAACCTGAAGAAATAAATGAAAGAGAAGAATAAGAACAAAGCAATATGAGAGAGCACAAATCATAAAAGAGTGCAAATTGTATGATTAACAGTTGGGGAGCTCAGCAATGTGGGAGGACCTCAGTAATCGACTGTCCTTACTCTGCATTGACGGGTTACAGTTAAGATAGTTAATGGCACATGGTAACATGGTAGGCATAACCTCTGCAAGTCTCCCTTTGAGTATGACAGACTGGGAGGAGACAACAGAACCGTTTTAAGACTACATGTCCAAGCGTCCCCTTTAGTACCAGGGGTGCAACAACTAATCGACTTAATCGATTAAAATCGATTACCAAATTAGTTGGCAACTAATTCAGTCGTCGATTCGTTGGTGACGTCATCACATGTGTTCTACACCCTGTTAAACTCCAAAGTTATCGCTCTTTTTTATGGGTACAGGAGACATTTAAAACATATGTCATATGTATTATTGCTACATAAACATTATATCGCAGTCTTAGTGTCGCCAACTCCGTTTCTAATATGCAATATGACTACAAAATGCGTCTATAATGTATTTTCGATCTTCCCAATTCAGACGAGAGATCTCTCCCCCGCCTGCTTGCGAGGGGGCGGGGCAGTTTA